TCTCCGCCCATCGTTCTTCCTTAAATCCATACCAAAACTCTGATATCAATTATTATGAAAAAACAACCACAATAAAGTGAAAAAATCGGATCGAAAAATTACTAACCAGAATATAACGCACAAATTTACATGGTTCGGCTAATTTTTCTACGTCCACGGAGCTGCAGATGATTTTAGTACTTCGAGAAATTACACCGTCGAGCGTCTTGACGTTTACAAGAAAAAGTTTTTTTCTCTTTCTTTATTTCTCTCTCTTAGCTCTCAAGAGGACTTTGCTTAACACTTATGACAAACCAAAAGAGGTTATTTAAACAAAACGAGAGAGAGGTAGATGGGACGCGGCAGGTGAATTAGGTAAGTCACAAACTCTACCTACCAAACATGATAAACGAATTTGATGGATTTAATCTTAAATTGACTCAAACAATGATTCATAAATTTGGATTTACCATATTTACTAAATCCTATCTAACTGAAATGTTATAGGCAGCCAAACACACCCTTAATCAATAAACCATCAATTTCACTCATTTGAAAGTAAATCTAAGGGTTTTAATTTCAATTTCGGCCAAATTTTATTCAGGAGACGCAACCTAATTTTTCTCCATTTTTTTCTTTTCTTTTCTCATGGATGATTTAGGTTCTATTCTGTGAAACCTTTAAATCAATCAGAACTAGATGGAAGTCTTTCCTATAAATTAAAATTTAATATGCTAATCTCACCCCTTTCTCTTCTACAACCTCATCCTACAGGTACTTGCCCAAGATATTCAGCAGGTATGCTGGAGCAGACGGCTTCATATTCCTCCAAGATAATTTGATTCTCAACTATTGGAATCTCCCCAACGCCGATAAGAACAAACTATGGATCACCAACAAGGTCTTTTTCCTTTTCTTTTTTTTTGTAAAGGAAATTTACATTCATACCACACAATTCTTAAACTTTTATATTTACATTATTTAATGCTTTGGTGTCACAAACCAATGCCTTAAATGGTGTATTTCACTTTTAACAAATAAAAATAATATTTTTGAAATGATATTAATGATTTGTGTGCTATGCATATAAATATGAAAGTTTATAGGCTAGATATGTAAATACATCCTCCTATTGTATTTAACCTTGATTTTTCAATCTAAACTATTTTCTTTCATCTCAGGTTTCTGAATCATGGTTTACCTCTAACATTGATTCCAACAGCTCTCAGTGGGCTATAAACCAAGCCTCTCTACTAAAGCAGGCCGTGAATAATTTCCCTGCTCATTTCCAAACCAACTACAGGAACAGCAATGGCGAGCAGAGTCTCACCATCTGCGGGAGTGAGCTATTCTACATTCCTCGCCGTTTCGTCGCCGACTTTGTTGATCTCGTTGAGCTTGTAAGAAACCTCGATATTCACCACATAGTCGCAGTGCCCATGATCTTTATGGCCATGGATTCGCCTCAGAATTTTGACTCGGATGCGCTGTCGAAAACGCTGTATTTGAAGGAGAAGGGGGGCAATGGGTTTAATGTGACTGACTATTCGGATCGAGTTCCGGCTGTGTATCCATTGAATGTAAGTAATGAGTTGGAGTTTATAGAGCTGGTTAGAGTGCTGGCTGCTGGAGATCAGCTTTTGAAGGAACTGGTGTGACATCTTATAGCTTAATTTGATCAGAATGTGTTTTATAGTCATTTTGCATTATGTTGAACTGTTGGAAGTGTATGTTTGATTGCTTACTGATATGTTGCATTTTGAATTAATTCATAGTCATTTTTTAATTATTTTTCAGATGAATGAAATGTATGTTTGATTGATTATTGATGTGTTACATTTGCTTCAAAGGATGTTAATAATGACTATGAATTAATTCTGATCAAATTTGAATCAGGGTGATGACTTTAGTTGATTTTTGCTTATTTGTCTTGCTTTTTTGTTTGGAAGAGTTGCATACATGTCACATAATTCGTATATCTATTGTTTGCATTTTAACATTCATTTATAGGGCTATTTGGCATGCAACAAAATGAATGCAATATGAAATGAATGTAAACGTACCATATTGTATTTGGAATATTTTGGTTCAGTGTAAAATAAATGCAAAATTTTATATTTTTCTTATTTTGTTTGAATTAATGAGAGCGGTGGGTCAACATTTTACACAAAATAATATATTTGAATTTTGAATTTGTTCAAATTTAATGAATATATTATAATCGAAATAAAGAATGCATTGTAATTTTGGAGTGCATTTGAAAGAAAAGGTATTTTGATAAGTTAATATAAAATAAAATTATTTAAAAAAAATAAAAAATTTATAGTGTTTTTGAGCATTCTTAAAAATATATTAATTATATGTTTAAATAAAAAATAAAAATTTGTAGAAATATGCTAAATAAATATATTTTTAAAAAATAAAAAAAATTAACTAAAAAATAAATTGATCTCAAATAAGTACTAAGAAAATATATGATGCTCTAAAATAACAATAAATAGAGGCAGCTAAAAATGCTTTTTTATAATTATAAAGTGGAATCTCCTTATTTTTTTAAATATATCTTCATTACAAATATTTTTTCATTTGCTTTACTGAAATAAAATAAAATTAAAATCTTATATTTATTTATTTTTATAATTATAAAGTGGAATCTCCTTATTTTTTAAATATATCCTTATTACAAATATTTTTTTCATTTGCTTTAATGAAATAAAATAAAATTAAAATCTTATATTTATTTATTTTATTCTAGACCCATATAACCTATTTTTTAATAATAATCTAAATATATTTAAAAAATGAATATTCACAGAAGAAAACTTTTTCAATTTGTCATGTAAATAAGAAAAAAATTTATTTTAGTTTTGGAGGGTATTTACGGCAAATATTAATTTGATCCACATCTTTTCGCAAAAGAGTCGCACACCTCGACCTCGCCTATTTATTACTTCTCCCAAAACCCTAGCTTCGTTCAGACATCAGAACGCAGAGGCGCCGCTTGCAGCTGTTTCTCCGACCATGGGTAAGGTCTTCGTGCCTTGCAGATATTTTGTGAAAATTTTTCCGGTGTGTGTGAATAAGATCTTCGTTGTCGCTTCGTTTCCTGTCTGGTAACGGATTTAGAGCAGGATTTACTGAATCCTACTAACTTAAATCTAATCCGTTGCTATACAAACGATTCTCTCCCTACTAAATTAAATCTAATCCGTTGCTATACAAACGATTCTCTCTGAATTTCAATGGGATTGTGCAGGAGCATACAAGTACGTTTCTGAGCTATGGAGGAAGAAGCAGAGCGATGTCATGCGATTTCTGCAGAGAATTCGCTGCTGGGAATACCGCCAGCTCCCCTCCATTGTTCGGCTCACCAGGCCCACTCGCCCTGATAAGGCCCGCCGCCTTGGTTACAAGGCCAAGCAGGTATCAATCCTAGTTATGTCTTCATTTTTTGTTGGGCTTATTGTGCATTTTTTTCCTTTTTATTGCATCCATGAAAGTAAATTAGATGCAACTTTATTTTTTTTTTTAGCATTTGGAAATGTTCTGCCCTTCTTCATTTGTCTTGGCATGTAATGGAATGGCCCCGTTGCTATATCTGTTGGTCATTTTTTTCATTCCTTTCGGGTGAATCTAGTCCATTTAGTATATATTTTTGTTGTGCCAAGGAGGTGGACAAACTGATTTGATTGTGTCAGTAGCACACTTATCTAAGATATTATGTTATTGAAGAAAATTATAAGTTAGAAACTTATATTAGCTTTGTTGTATCAATTTATCTTTCTTTCTGGTTTGTATTGGTAGCATGATTGGTAATTGATTTTGTTATAACATGATACCCACATTACGATCTGGTTTAAAATGTACCTTGCTGAATGCAGATTGTATTTTTGGGGCAATTGCTCTGTTTATATCACATCAAATTAGTTTATTGTATTATGCTCAAGATTTCCTTTAGCCACTTGATATAGTTAGTGTGATGTAACATGAAACTCCCACATCGTGTCATTTGAAGTTGAATCTAATAAATATGAATTAGATTTCCTTAATGCAGATTCATTTTATTATTTTTTTTTCGTTGAAGACTCTTACTGGCTAGCTTTGGAGGAGTCCTTTTGTCATATTTAGTTAGCCTTACTTAAATGGCTCACTTGTACTATTTATCTTGGTTTATTCTCTAGAGGAAAACCATTTTTTGTTAATTATTTCATTGCAACTCGTGATCTTTATTTTCTCAATAAGTTATCACCTAATTGTATCAGAGAGTTTCTTAATGTGTCTTCATAATTGTCTTATTAGATTAGAGTGTCTTGGTGGATTTTTGAGAAATAATTTATTATATGAATTGTTGGTAGTCTTTATTTTGAATTCAATTTGTTGTATTGTGTTGGTCAGTGTTGTTATACATGTAAAAATTAATTGGCCATCCAATTGTTGAATTGATTGATTGGAGGTTTTACATTTATTTATTTTTTGTGTTTTATTTCTTCCTTTGTAATGGCTATCCAATCACACTTCACGATCACCATTTTTCATTTGGTAGTTGAATTTGATAACTCAATATCAATCTCTCTGTTGAATCTTTTGCTATCGTTTCTTTTGTAGACTGATTTGTTATTAGAAATTGTTTGATATTCAATGGATTTTAATCTCAAGTATCTATCACAATCAGCATTAGTCTCATCCCATCTATTTTGGTTTAGATTTATGAACATTCTTTCATTATTGCCTATTAACTGCTCTATGTGGTTTCAATTTCTTCATGCTAGTCCTTTTTCCAACTTTCAATTGTCCATTTCTTCCCTAAACTCTGCATTAACTTTATCTACCTGCAGTGGTGATGATGTGTTGTGTCTTTAATTATTCATGTACTTCTCCTCTCTCTTTAATATTCATATATTATCTATTGTTTTTTTTGTGAGATTTTTCATGTACTTCCTTTTAATCATCAATTCTTTTTGGAATTGTTGCCACAAATGTTTTACATTTTAAGCACTTAGTCATGATTTTTTTCCCAAAAATTGGAAACATGTTGCATAATTACTCTACTTAAGTCTACTTAAAACTTTCATACTATTGTTAAAATATTGCTCTAATTTCTCATGATACTTTTTAGTTTTTACAACGTTGCTTTATTTTATTCACTTAATTTTCCTAACACAAATAATATCCTTACCTATATCTTAAATTCTTTTGTAAGACGTATGTAAATTTATTGCATTTATGTTTTACTTAATATTCGATTGTATTAATTGATAATTTTCATTTTGTATCAACGTAAAATATATCAGTCTTTTTTTAACTCGTACTCTGGCCGTAGAAGTGCTTAAAAATGTCAGACCTATGTTATAAAAAAATATCATCCATGAAGCCATCTCGTTTGGAATAATTTTGTAAGCAGATGGTTGAAATTTATTGCAGATTCTTCATTTAATTAACTTTGATTAGAAAATTTGTTCAGCTATTCAATTAGAATTAATTCTAATGCTATAGGTGCTTCATTTTGTAGATATTATTTCCAACTTGACATACCGCTTGCAAACCATTTTCCTTGATGCCAGCTAATTATTAAACGTTTTTTTTTTTTAGCTTTCTAAATTATTAAATATAATTCTTCTTTGCTTTTTTGACGCTAATGAAGATCTAGATACAAATACTAATGTGTTATAGATATAATATACTATCCAATATACCTTCCATCTGTTCCTCAAAGGTTGGTTTTGGTCTATTTTACTACTTCGGAATTAGAAGTAGCAATAGGAGTTTAATCAGATTGAAATGAGAACATGCCATGGAGTATCTGTACTAGCTGTAGCTAGGTACAGCAAGATTATCTGTTAATTTTGCTTCTAAGATTCCCTGATGCAACAATATGCCACATATCTTTTCACTTTTAAAGCCTATACTAATATTTAACTGCATTTTGCTTTATGTGTGAAGCTCTTCAGTCATTGAATGGGAAGAGTACTAGAAAAAATGAATTTTACAGTCAATCTCTTGTTTAGATACGGAGCAGGTCTTTTTTTTTCATTCTGAAATGCAATTTTATTATCCATCTTCAAAAATTTTCAAATGCAAGAGAATATTATTTCCACTGATGCAAAATAAAGCTATCTAGCACCTGTGGCACTTCGGGTCTGTTCGGGACAGCTGCAGCTTATATAGCTTATGCTGATAAGCAGTTTATCCTGACAAGCTGTGTATCTATAATTGATTTTGATATGTTGTTTGTCTATTTGGTTTGTGCGTTTGGAAAACAACTGTTTTTGGATAAATGACCCTTCTGCTCCTGTTAAATAATGTTGTTTGCAACAAAATCATCATGAAAATACATTTAATACTAGAGTTGCAGAAAACCCATACAGAACAGTAAAAAAAATTAAGAAACAACCCTCACTTAACAGTGAGTATCGAGATTTAATAAAAAAAAAAAATTATTAAAATGACAAAGGTCAAAGGCAAAATAAAAGTAATCTCACCTAAGAAATGTGATGTTTATCAAGTGTAAATACATTAGAAATATTAGCATAACAATTCCTTATGCACATCTCAAAAAACCACACTCACAAAAAAAAAAAAATTATTCGCTAGTAGATACATCCTTCTTCAAGTAGATTTTTGGAAATACAAGCAACCATTGAAAATACAAGAAGCAGAGCTTCTCAACACTTTACATTAGCAAAATTTCAGAATAGTTCATACACACATCCTCCTTCAAGTAGATTTTAGGAAATACAAGCAACCATTGAAAATACAAGAAGCAGAGCTTCTCAACACTTTACATTAGCAAAATTTCAGAATAGTTCATACACACATCCTCCTTCAAGTAGATTTTAGGAAATACAAGCAACCATTGAAAATACAAGAAGCAGAGCTTCTCAACACTTTACATTAGCAAAATTTCAGAATAGTTCATACACAAGTAAAAATAGTTCAATCTACCAAATAATTAATAACTGCATCAACCAAAATCATAATGCAGTAATAAGATTGCCTACTCACGGCCTATACAGCAATATTAACCAATAAAATTTTGGACATTCAGTTTAGGTTAGTGAGCAATGAGCCATTGATGACAAGGAAGAAGAGGCAGTTAAGAAATGCGATGTTTATCAAGTGATTGTCGTTTAATAAGAAATTTGAAGAATTGGGGGAAAATAAAATTTTACTGAACGGCGAGCGGGAGGGTCACGAAAGCAAGTTCAGCTGCGAATTCCGAGCAGGTGGTGATCTCGAGAGCCAGGTGATGGTCACGGAAGCGGCGGAGAAAGGCGACGGCGACGACGACGCGATGAATAACTTCAAGGGAGACGACGAATAGGCGAGGGAGAAGTTGCCCAGGCAACAACGGTCGAGGAGCGACGGTTTCTTCGCCTGGCTTTCGGCGGAGGAGTGGGGTAGGTTTCCCGTGAGCGAGTGAGGGGGCAAGGAGGTAAAATATAGGGGCGAACGCGGATAGCCAACGCCGATCGCGGGGTTATACCCGCGATCGCGTGTAATGTAAAATATAAAACGAAGTTTTGAGATAATCTATCCAAATGCGTGAAACAAACGGGTAGGCGGCGTTTTCAAAAACGCTTGAAAACGCCGCCGCACTTATAAGTTGTCCCAAACAGGCCCTTCATCTTGTAATTTAAACAATGTGCCATGCAAAAAACTGAAGGTATCATTCAGAGATTTTTGTACACCATTTCCTTAAATTATTAGTGATTATACCTCCATCATCTATGTATATACATGTAAAATCTTAAGCCATTTTAAAGTTAAATTGGGCATCAATGTTGGGCGGCCAAAAAAAAAAAAAAAATTTGATACAGAAAACATCCATTATTTGTTGCAGGGCTTTGTCATCTACCGAGTCCGTGTGAGGCGTGGAGGCCGCAAGAGGCCCGTGCCAAAGGGTATAGTCTACGGAAAACCGAAGAACCAAGGTATCACCCAACTGAAGTTCCAACGCAACAAGCGTTCAGTCGCCGAGGAGAGAGCTGGCAGAAAGCTTGGTGGCCTGAGGGTCCTCAACTCCTACTGGATCAATGAGGTGAGCAAATTTATAAAACATCTTAAATCAACTGTAATCTTTTTAGATTTTTGTTCATAAAATTGTGAAATTTTATATTGAGTGTTGAGTGTTTACTAAATAAAAAACTGCTGGCCGCCAAATGTTAATTTTCTCAGGTGGCATTTACATGCATACCACACAATTAAAATTTTACTAAATAAAAAACTGCTGGCCGCCAAATGTTAATTTTCTCTGGTGGCATTTACATGCATACCACACAATTCTCATCTATTTTTACCTATCTGACACCTAAACATTCATATTTACATGCATTCCACTAAAATCTTTAACATACATAAAAATACCACAATCAACACCCTTTTAAAACTGAAATACGTGTTTATGCATAAGTTTATGACACCAAGTGTTGCAAGTGTAAATATCAAAATTTTGGGTGTTAGATATGTAAACTGCTAAGCCTTTTGTGGTATGTATGTAAATTTCCCTTGGGATTTTACATACATTCCACACAATTCTTATGTATTTATATATTTTAAACCATAACATTCATATTTACATGCATACCAGTCAAATCTTTGGCATACCATAGAAGTTACCATCATCATCAGCTTTTCAAATGTGAAGTACATATTTTCATGCAAGGATTTGTAACACCAATGTAGTATAAGTACAGTAATATCTAAGCTCGGATGTTAGGTATGCAAATGTCAATTTCCCTACTCTCGTTCAAGAGAAAATTTTTTAGCAAATTGTGAGTTGGGTGTACTTTGCAGGATTCAACCTACAAATACTTTGAAATAATCCTTGTTGATCCCGCACACAACGCCATTCGGAACGACCCCAGGATTAACTGGATCTGCAACGGCGTTCACAAGCACAGAGAGCTTCGTGGACTCACCTCTGCCGGGAAAAAGTACAGGGGACTTCGCGGCAAAGGCCATCTCCATCACAAAGCAAGGCCCTCTCGCAGAGCAACCTGGAAGAGGAACCAGACCTTGTCGCTCCGCCGATATCGCTAAGACTCCTCCATCCTCAACCCTCACTTTCGATCAGTTTGTTCTGTTGATTTCCCATAAAACTATTGAACTTTTGTTCCATCTTGTTCCAGTGAGTATTTTATATGCTTGAATGATGAAACTGTAGCAATGTTGCAGAGTTTTTGAGTTTAATGGCCTTCTATTCTTATTTCTTTTAGATGATACCAGATTTGAACTGTTTTTATTTCATGTTTTGGTACTCTCAAATTTTGTTTTCCTTTTTTATTTTTTGTCATTTACTAATGCTTTTTTCTATTCTGCTTTTTGCTTAGAAAAGAGCAGGTTCTGAAAAGTAATATATATTGTGAAAGTGAATTTGAGTAATCTTGAGTTTTATTGAATAATATAATAAATTATAAATTTATTTAAATATGATAAATGTACTATAAATGGTGAGTAGCTACATATGATTGGAAAGAATGGGGTATTTGGTCTATAAAAATGAAACTTAAATGTGTAAGAATTTGGTGCTACATATGTAAATTTCTCTTTAAAAAATATACTTATTGCTTAAAATTAGATTGTATCTGGCATACATCAAATCATTTAATCTTTGATGTTCCAAATATTTTCTTCTTTTTATATGAATTTGTTCAAAAACATTAATTTCTTACACAACTACACACACACACACACATACATACATACATACATATAATGCTTGTAGTTGAAAGTTTGGATGACTTATCAGGTTGCATTTCTTTGGACATAGGGAGAGTAACAGGCTTTCCAAAATTGCTGATATGTTGACAAAGCTGTTTATCCTATATGCTCTTAATGATACTAGGTTTATATAACCTTTTTATATTTTTTTAATATGCTTTTAATTGTTTTCCTTACCTTGTACATGCCATTCTAAGCATATCAATGAGATGGCTTCTCATCTAAATCAATAACTCGTAACAATTTTATTAGTCATCTTGCTCATAAATGATAGAAACTACTTCTTTCTCTTTAGTGCTTATTGCCAATAGTGAGTTACAATAACACTTATGTTCAAGTTCAAGCACTCTTTAATGTAAACAAAGTAGAAACAAAACAAGTAGCTTATAAACGCTCTATTTCTATACATTGTAGTCTTTTTACTAGCCAAGATAATTCAAAACTATGATTATAAATAGATATTGTAATTCTCAATACACTTTTCGCAAGCTTTATGTTACAATAATACTTATGTTCAAGCACACTCTTTAATGTAAACATAGTAACGAAACAAGTAGCTTATAAACGCTCTATATCTATACATTGTGGTCTTTTTACTAGCCAAGATAATTCAAAAATATGATTATAAATATATATTGTAATTCTCAATACACTTTTCGCAAGCTTTATCACAAAATACATTAAATTCAAATTATGTCAGCAAATGTAGACCAGTAAATATTATCATATTTCTCATGTAATAACTCATATGTTTTTTTTTTTTTTGTAATTTGTTCCATTATGAATCACTAGTTGAACAATATTCTCTTGATCAATCTACTCAATGCCTTCGACAAAAAAGCTCCACACAGTAGTAATATCATTCTTCATATCGGAAGCAACGACATGTCTAAAAAAGATACTCCATGTGGGCAGTAAACTAAGATGTTTATTAATATTTTATTCCTCGTATATGTCCACCCATCAACCATCAAAGTGCATCATGTTCTTTTCCTACTGCGTCATTAAGGTCCGTTTGGGGCAGCTTATAAGTGTGGACGACGTTTTCAAAATGCCATTGTACCATTTGGTTCGTGCATTTCGTTAGTTTATCCAAAATTGTGTTTGAGTTTTTACACTAAACCAGGCCGCGGGTCGACTCCTGCGGTCGGCCCACGGGCCGCTTTTCAGGATAAGCAGCTTATCTTGAAACGTACAAGCTGCCCCAAATGGACCCTAAGATTCAACCAGAAGCTTACATTCTTCTTTGCAATCTCCTAGCAAATTAACTCTCATTCTGCGATGAAGGTCGTTGATATCTTAAGATCAACTGCAACTCTTGCATCAATTATGAGACTTATCTTGTATGAAGCACTATTGTCTTTAACCTCAGCGAAATTTTGCTTCATTCCATTTATGTCACCACTTTTATATATAATTCTAAATGCAAACACTTAAATTGCTTCTGTCCATCTGAAACTATACATTTAATGAAATGATTTCAAACCACATTGGATTCATTTTCTCACCATCATAATGAGAAGAAAAGATGGGTTGACTTTCATATGAATCCATCTTATATATTTTAAAGAAATTAAGCAAATAATTAATATTTAAACATATAAATGAAACAGAGCCCAAAATAGTATATATAAAAACTCAGAAATAGCTGAGGAAACCATAAATCCTTGAACCCAAACCTAAATGAGTACTTGATTTAGTTTTTAGATCATTTTATCACTAATCTAGCTGTCGGATGTGGAAATAATCATGAGTAGCGGTTCTCACCATCAGACCTGACTCATCGGTTTTTGGTCGTACCATAGATTCCAAGCAACCGCGAACGGTCCGACTCTTAAACAATTCTTTTGCATATCTAGACCGAACCAGTAACCGGTTCCCACAGGCCGAACAAGCCGGTCCAGTCTGATTTTCAAAACCGTGGTCTTTTGGGGCTTATATGTTATTTTCATTTCTCTTTTTTTTTTTAATAAATAAAATTGTATATGGTGCGGCCTCAACATTCCCAAAATAAATAAATAAATAAATAGTATTTAAATGTTTGTTTGTAATATAAATGCAAACTATTTGTTGTTTTTATTTAGTGTTTGGTTTGAAGCAAAACTTAGTGTTAAAGATAGTCGACATATGGCTTGATAGCCTATTTTTTTAGGCTATCAGATAATGCAGGCAAGCAAACGGCCATTTAATATTTAAAGATATTTAAATTTGTGGAATCATCAGTCAATTTTTCTTAATTAATTTGTTCTTTAGCTCGTTGAATTGAATTGAAATTTGAAGTAAAATAAAACAAATGATTTCATCACATTTAAAAATAATAAGAAAATTAATTGGTGTTCTTTTAGAAATGTTTTTTTTAGTTAATTTATTTGTTGTAATGGACATGAAATTCCATTAAAATGGAAATTTTAGTCTAAGGCAATGGAGCAGTGTTGCACCGCGGTTTGAACATTTGCAAAAGCTACAATGATGAGTTGTATTTTGTGACCCGATCTGAATAAATATAGTGACAATAATAAAGTTTTGGTCTAATATTTTGCAAGTATATATAATAGTCATCGCAGTTTTTTTAACATCAATTTCTCAGCACCAATTTCAAGGCCGCTACTTCAAATAGTTGTGGCAACCCCAAACAAACCCCAAGGGATTGTTTGACTACAAGTAGAATTCGACATTAATAGGATTTATTGAATCTGAAAATCGTAAATCCATTAAATTCATCATCTCCCTGGATTTTGTAAATCTGGATTTAAGTTCAATCGAAGGCAAAATTTAGACCCTTAAATCTAAAAAATCATAAATTCGCAAAACCCTTTCATTTCTTGCATTTGATTGCCTTTTATAAATATGATGATAAATGCTATTCAAAGGTGCTACAGAACACCCCTAAGCATTGAAAAAAATATTATGTGCGAACAAGATAAATACAAATTTGGTGGTATTTAGTGATATTATAGTAGTTGGGTGTAGTACAACTAAAATATCGCAAAACTACCATAATATCACTAAATTTCACCAATATGTATCTGTGTATGCCGCACGTAATAGACTCTAAATATTATTGGTTTTTTCTTTTAGTTTTTCACATAAATTTTTATTATTTCCTGCGCTCTTTTATTTAATTTATTCATGTGAGAATTTCATGTAAATTTATACCGCAAAATTCGCACCCAGACACAAAAATGTCATGTTAAAAACTTATTTTTTTAAAAAAAAAAATGCATATCTTATATTTAATATTCAATATTTATATTATTAATATTTTGATGCCATAAACATATAAATATGTAAAAAAAATAGATGTTTAATATATAAATATATATAAATTTTATGATATGCATGAAAAATCCCCATTCCTAATAATAGTGAAAAAGATTTAAACTAAGCTAAAAAAAATAAAAATAAATTTAAAAAAAAAAACTTTTAACCAAAATCATCCATTCATTCTCCCCACAAACAGACTTAGCGCCAATCCACAACCAACTGGCAACTCTTTAAAAAACCTAAATTTCTCTCATCGGCCTCAATACTCCGGCCAATCTGTTCTTCTCAAACCATGGGCTGCGGTGGTTCAAAAGACGAAATCGCCGCCGGCAACACAGTCGCCGCTAAATCCCTCCAATCGAACAAACCTTCTACGCCGAATTCCTCAACAAATCAATTATCGGAACAGAAGCCCTCGGTTCCGGTGGTTGATTCCGTTGCTTCTGAGAAGAAAGAGGCAGCGCCGGCGGCGCCGGCGGAGGCTCTGATCTCGAAAGAGTCGCCGGATCGATATTTCTCATCGAGGAAGGACGAGGAGGCCATTGCTGGTGGAAATGTTCTGAACAAGGATGAGGATCAATTGCTGGCTGATTCCGTGTCCGTAGTGGAGGATTCTTCGGAGGTAAAGAAGGACGTTTTGATTGGGGGTGATGGAGAGGCAAAGATCTTTGCCGAAGTTCCTAAATCTGAAGATGGTGAGTGAATTTCCCCTTCTTTTTCTTAACGATAGATTTGATTTTGGTGGATTTTGGTGCCTTAATCATATATTTCATAATTTTATAATTAATTCAAATATTATGAAATTCCCTTTTGATCAAAATTGAGTTTTGATGCTTTAACCTCTCATGAATGAAAATTTGGAAAATCATTTGATAAATCCTCTTTTTGTGTTCTTAACAGATGTCTTTTATTTCTTCTGCAATTTTTTAAACAATCTTATTAATTGATTAACTAATTTAACAAAAGTAAATAAATGAAGCTTTACATACATACTACTAAAATCTTATGTATTTACATATTTAAAACCTAAGCCTTTATTTTTACATATATGACAAGAGTGAAATTTTTTATGTGATATGAAAGAGTTGGGTGATATAAATATAAAAAGAAAAGTTTAGGCGTTAGAAATGTAAATACATAAGAATTGGGCTATTTAGTTAATATTACTTAGTAATTTATAAATTGTTACCACATAATTTCAAAATTGCAGAAAAAGCAAGCGCAGAAGGTGGAAAGGATTCCAAAGGGACCTCATATGAAGAAAAGGTTTCTGAAGAGAATGCTGCTAAGAAGAAGAATTAGAAGTAATTAATTAATTTCATGACAATTACAAAAGAGTTTGTTTGATTGTTCCTTTAATTTGTATATTGATAACATACATTTGCTTATTTTTCATATGATGTTGGGTTGTGAATTAATTATTTACACTCCCAAGTTGAATTTCTTTGAAGGGAATATTGAGTTAGCTCATCAATTTGTGTCGAAAGCTAAAAATGATTTTGTTGGCATCTAGATCACTAAAATTAAGAGTTTATAAGATTACACTTCTCTTTAGTCAAAGTGAGGCGAGCCGTCATGAATGGACTCAACAAATCTAATCTACTCGAGCTACCTCCTCTCTCCTGTCGCACTTAGGAGGAAAGGAACAAGAGTCTTGTTGCCATCACTTTTGGCGAGTACTCGTTATAATGACATTTATTTTGGGAAATTTGGGATATGCTTCGGATAATCCATTTGTTTAGTAAGTTGTTCATCACAAAATGTCTACATTAAGGAGATGAGTTAAACCATGTAAAAATCTAGACATTTATGGTGTCTTTTAGTAGAAATAGATATGTGTTGAAACATTTTGATATTATCCCAAGAATTTGATTTGCTAAATTAAAAGTAATCACCTCTAAATGCGCTTGTGAGCTCAAATTTTATGATGTGTTTTGTTTGAATCATCAAACGAAGATGTTGCCAGAGGTTGAGCGATTATGATTTGATGACGAATGTTGAGTGGAGATGATTAGGCAACTGAGGTGGTTGGCAGTGGAGGTGTGGAGGTCGAGTGGCAACTATTCAAAAACATAGATTAGATAACACCAATCTGACAATCAAACAACAGTGTTATGACGATGACAATTAGGCCTCGGTGGTTAAACACAAAGGTCAGGTGGGGCTTTAGAATTCTTCAAACCCTTGAGCTGCAACTCTCATCCTCTTTTGATCATAAACGCAATTCATGATGGGGTAACTATTGTCGATATTGATAACACTAATAACAAATATATGCAGCAAAAAAGATATCAAACACGCCACAAATGATTACAATGATTATTTTTCCTATTTTCACCTAAAGACTTGATGATGTCCTTCTCCTATATCCTACCATCATGCTAGTATAACGTATCAGAGAACTAACCTTGATTTACAAAAGCCATCCTATACTTATAAACATCTTTATTAACAAAAATATTTTGAATCTTAATGTCCCTAATGACATTTGTGATTGTTGAAGTTGTATGTAAAACCAATTGTATACTTTGGTGGAAAAATATAATTTTTGAAAGTTAGTGGTTTCTTCATTTGAAAAAAAAAACTATATAATAATTTTCTTATAACTACCACATTTTGGAAGAAATGATTCTGAAAGGCACCTAGCCACAAACTTTTTAAAAGCTAACAATAGTCTGCAACTAAAACTTGTATAAAACTTAGTACAAACGCAGCCTAAACTAACTCGTCTTTCCATATAATTTGAAGAATTTCTATAATCCAACTGGCTCATTAAACAAAAAATACCAACATATGTATCAAGCAAAAACCCATTGGACAGGGAGACAATTAAATCCCTTCATTAAATCTAAAAAGCATCAAACAAGCTACAAAACTAAAAAAGCATTTTCCATACAAACCAACCAGTATCATGGAATCTAACAATCCCTTACAAGTTACAACATAAACTTAAGAATACTAAACTTAACTTTATTCAGGTCTAATTCAGTTTAAGATGCCATCCTATATCACACACCAAAGAAACATAAATCCAGTTGGAAGTACACATGCAGAATCTGGAACCATAGGTTTTTTTTTTCCTCTTATAACCACTCATATAACAACTGCAAACATCACTACTGTACATGAAATTAACAATAAATGTCAATTTTTTCATACTCTATATAAAGTATGAACACAATTGTAGATTATAATGAGCAAATTTAAGATTTTGCCTTGTGATTACAAACTGGAGGTAGATCTTGGTAAGGTGCCAAAGAATAGCGAGGATTGTGCCTCTTTGGAGACCTCACAGGGTTGGGAACCTTCGCCGGTTCGAACTGCTTTAACGTCATCGAATTCTTCGTATCTTGCAATTTTTCTAACCCTTTTAAAACCTCGCGCATGCGTGGACGAAGCTTCCCATCATCGTTGAGGCACTGTAAGGCTATAGAGGCAACTAAGTCAGCCGATTTTTTGGGATATCTGCCCTCCAGCTTGGGGTCCATTATTAGGAACAAAGTTCTCTTTTTGGTGAGATATGGTTTCGCCCACTTGACAAGGTTTTGCTCCATGCTTGGCTTTCTTCTATCTATGGCGCGACGACCAGAGAGAAGCTCAAGCAACACAACTCCAAAGCTGTATACATCAGCTTTTACAGACAAACGGCCTATACGAGTGGAAGCGATGTTATAAGGTATTGTAGGATGTAAAAAAGTTAGATGTGAAAGCGAGTGTAATAAAATAGAAATAGTTTAAGAGAGGACAGATAAATATCAATGTCTTAGTTTAAGAAAGATAAGTTTTAAATTGTTGAATTGAAACCCAATCTACAAATTTTACAAAAAATTTAAAATTTTCTAGTTGTTTGAGTTCTTTCCAAATAAAGGGAAACAATTGTACTTAACAATTAGTGAATGATTTTTTTTATCTTCACTTTTGGCAAAGCAAAAAATTTAGAATTTTCTAGTTGTATGAGTTCTTTCCAAATAAAGGGAAACAATTGTAATTAACAAATAGTGAATGATTTTTTTTATCTTCACTTTTGGCAAATTTAATTGCAACCCCACACAAGCATCCATATGCGCAGGATTTGAACACATGATTAGGGTTGTCAATTCTAGTTGATGGGTTATTTGTTGGGGTCTGAAGCTGCCCTTTTATAATATAGGTCAAAATACTTGATCAAACCGCCTAACCCAGCAATCTATCCTATATTTATTATATGGATCATGTAACTTTTGGATTCAACATGACGCAATTAACCCATAGGCAACCCGTGTAACCCAAACCCAAATTATTATTGAGTCAATTTCAAAGTTATACCAGTCAACATGAATTTCACCCAACTAATCATGAGGTCTGCAATTGACTCAAACTCGACCTAAACTATAATCGGGTCAAACCGAACCCTTTTTTTTTAGTCAGTTCACCAATCGGGTCATTTTTTGACATCTCTAAATGGAATCTCAATGCCTGAAGCTAAATAACAATTAAATAACCTGTTGCAATGTATTCCGGGGCAGCATATCCCTGCGTGCCCATGATTCGGGTCGAAACATGAGTCTTATCACCCGTCGGACCAGCTTTTGCCAAGCCAAAATCGGAAAGTTTTGCATTGAAATCCTGCATTTATCAAAAAACAATATTAAATAGCAAAAAAAAAAAAAAGATGCTAAGAAGAATGAATAAGCTCTTTACACGATATACCGAGTCAAGAAGGATGTTAGATGCCTTGACATCTCTATAGATGACCTGACACTCTGCATCATGTAGAAATGAAAGCCCCCTTGCTGCTCCAATTGCAATTTTTACCCTTGTTTCCCAAGAAAGAGGTTGAGGACCCCCTTAAAAGGTTAAATAGAACCTTAATTTTGATCCAAAAATGAACTAAGAGAACTTTAAACATCACACTGACCTCGTCTCATTGCAATTTTCTTTGCAACTCCAAATTAAGCTATAGATATGAATTCTTTACATTAGTTTCAGCGAATGATACTGAGTTTAGAAATTCAACTTTTCACTCACAATTAGCCTATTTTGTAAGAAACTTTAGCTTAATAAGCAGATAATTTTGAGGCTGATTTTGATTTTGATTCATTGATCCTTATAGTTTCCTCTGATTTTCATTAGAAAATTAGCATATATGATATCCAATTTTCAACATGAAAGCATCTTTAACAATAATAATTAAGGTTCTATGAATGCATGGTAACAGTAGAGAAGAAATGAGGAAAACGATACACACATTAAACTTTAATTATTGAACTAGTCTCTCATCAAAAAGTATGTGGTTTGATAGATTTTCATTATATTCTCTAAGACAGAGATACTTCACGACTTTGGGCATATAAATTAATGCACAAACACCAAGACTTTTTACACGAGCAATTAATAACTACTTATTTCTCATATTGCAACTCCCACTATAATGACAACAATAAAGTTTTACTATAAGCATTCAATGGATGTCCCTCAGTGCAATTTTCATCTCCCATCTATAAAATCATACTATATGAAATGTTTCTTCACCGTGGCATTAATCAAGCCCCACAACTTAAGAACAAATTAGAAAATGAAGCTTACGTCGAAAAAGATGATTTTCCAAGCTTCCTTTTGGCATAAATTCATAAACCAAAAGACGGTCATCACCCTCAGAACAATAGCCAATAAGCTTAACCAAATTTGGATGATGCAGCTGACCAAGATAATTAACCTCTGCCTGTAAGCACATGACATAAGTGAGAATGATGAAATGGCAATCCAAAGCATGGGAGTCATATTATAACCGATCCGAATAAACTTACCAACCATTCCCTGTGGCCCTGAAAACCCTCAGGCTTCAGCTTCTTAACTGCAACAACCATTCCGTATCCCGGCCTCGCAGCACAGAAGCTTAGCTCGTCGATCCACCCCTTGAAGACATACCCAAACCCTCCTTCCCCAATTAGACTCTCAGATCTGAAGTTTCTGGTTGCGTTTTTCAGTTCACTGAAGCTGAAGGCCTTCAGATTTGGGAATGGAAATATGGCAACATCAGGTTGAGGAATGGGAAGGCTTTCAGAAGCTCTCTTTTCAGTGTAAGTGGGTCTGATCAGAGTTGAAGGAGTTGAACATGCTGCAAAATCATTGCATCGATTACAAAATTAAAAGATGGAACCCTAAATTTATTTATGATAGTTCTTCGCAATTCTTCTTATGGTTATCTGTTTTAAATCTTGCTTGATCATGAAAAATTATTGATTCTCTTTAAATGTTTTAACTAATGATCGTACTGAAGTAAGATTTATTAAAAAAAATAGTGGAATTTAAACTATCCAAAGTTCTATCATCCAATCTAAAATAAGGTCCAGAAAAAAATGAAGGAAAAAAAAACCTCAGAAGATTAGGGCTCAGCTAACAAGAAACGAAAACAATCATCCAAACCTCACAAACCCTAAAAATCGACAACGAAAAGGAAGAAGAACTGCAATCGACACGGGAGCTCGCAAAACTGGTAGAAACTAAAATCCCAATAATAAAAAGAAGAAGGTGGAAGGAACTCACCATTAGGGTTGTGCGAAATACGAGAACTGTCGATCCGTGATAAGAACTTCAAACAGTTCCCCATCAGCTCCCTTCTCCACCTCCTCAATTCCCCAAGTTCTCCCGAACTGAAACCCTATAAATAATAAAACTTTTCGCTCCAAAATTTACTTTTTTCAGCCATTCAAATCACTATCTTGTGGAAAATAGTGGAGGAGTAGCAGCAGCCACAAGCGATGCGATGCCAAGCGAACGCTGCTACAGCTGTGTGGACAAAAAACAATGAGTATACTTCACGCAGTCAAGTTGTTCTCCAATTCATCATAACTGAAAAAACAATTTTTTAAAAGGACTGAAAAGTTGAAATTTGTCTTATTAGGTGAATCAGAATTATACGACATCTGAGATGATAGCAGAGACCACTCATCTTATCTTCCTTCAGTCAACATCCACGTGCTTCAGTGTCTTCGTAGAATTAAATTCTGAGGGCGTTTTATTGTTAGACGTCTCTTCTCTGAGTTTTTCTGGTCCTCATCTTTATCATTTGTTCTTTGCTGTTGTTGAATTTTTCTGATGGATATGTGTGTTATTTATTTGCTTTGTTTGTTTTTTTAAACTTCTTTAGTTGGTGGGTTTGATTTTAGCTTGTTGTGTTATTCTTCATCTTCTTCTTTTTTTTCATCTGTGATTGTTTTGGGTTGTTTTTTTTGGTGTTATTGGACTCTTATATTCTTGTTTCTTCTCTTTAAATAAGGCTAGGCATGATCTTCATTTTTCACATAGAAAATAACATAAAATACTAGGGCATTTGCATGCATAGGACATAATAAATTTTCACAATTGCTTGCTAGTACTTGTTTGCAAACACCTTCTTTGATGCACATTAGTTAGCTTGTATTTGATTCATCTATTAAGCAAACAGTCAAATAAGAATAAATTTTTTTGGTGATATATAAATGAGGAGAATACGAGTAAAAGTTTGTTTGTTCGTGTTCAGTTTGATTTGACTTGAATTAATTAAATAATGATAAATAATATTAGTATATTATTTAAATTTTAAATTTTGCCGTGAATCTCGAGGTATGATACGGATCTCAATGTGACTTTTTAAACAATAAATATTCAAATTTAGATAAAAGTCATCTAGAGCTCTCATTTCAACAAGTTTGCAGTCAAACTGATCGGCTCAACGAGACGGACCCAGTGATATCAAAATTAATCCAATCCGAGTCAAATTAAGCTCAGATCAAGTAATTAAATCAGTCTTAGAAGTTTTTTGGACATATTTAAAAGGTCAAACAAATATCAAATTTAGCAAGTCGATGGTCGATTCGAGCATCTCAACAAGACGAATCCAATGAGTATGCTCAATTCCGACATCGTTAAGACACTCAAATATCTATCAAACGTCGTCTGATTGAAGGATGCTTTCCAAACCATTCGACCAAAATGATTAATATTTCTGAATTAATTGCACCTAAAACTCTATAAATAGAGTTTTGTCCTACTCATAGGAGGGAAAAGAGTTTGAGATTTGAAAAAGAGCTTGAAGCTTTAAGAAGAAATTGGAGTTTAGCACCACCACTGCAAACCGTTGTCGTCCGTCACTTACCTCCGCCGACCACCTTCAACCGTTGTCGACTTTCGTCATTAGAGTTGTGCGAAATACGAGCGTTATCGATCCATTATAAGAACTTCAAACAGTTCCCCATGAGCCCCCTTCTCCACCTTAATTCCCCAATATCCTCTTAACAAACCCTAAAAAAAATAAAAGATTTGGCTCCAAAATTCAATTTTTTCAGCCATTCGAATCACTATCTTGTGGAAAATAGTGGAGTGGCAGCAACCACAAGCGATGTCAAGAGAACGCTGCTACAACTGTGTGGACCAAAACAAATTATACTTTACGCTGTCAAATTGTTCTCCAATTCATCATAACTGAAAAAAAACAATTATTTAACAGGACTGAAAAGTTGAAATTTGTCTTATTAGCTGAATCAGAATTATACGACATCTGTGATCATCTTATCGTCCGTCAACTTCCTCGTGCTTCAATGTCTTCATAGAATTAAATTCTTAGTCTTTGCTCTGAGTTTTTCTGGTCCTCTATCTTTATCATTTGTCTTTGCTGTTGTTGATCTTTTCTGGAGATATGTGTGTGATTTATTTGTATTGTTTGTTTTTTAAATTTCTTTAGTTGGTGGGTTTGATTTTAGCTTGTTGTGTTATTCTTGTTTTACTTTTCCTCTTTTTTTCTATTGATTGTTTTGCGTTGTTGTTCGGTGTTGTTGGACTCATATATTCTTATTTTTGTTTAAATAAAGTTAGGCATCTTCTTCATTTTTGGCACAAAAAATACACATGACATAATAAATTTTCACGTTTGCTTGCTAGCACTTGTTTGCCAACATCTTATGTACTCTACATTAGCTAGCTTGTGTTTGATTCAGCTATTAAGCAAACGAGTTTCTTCATTTTTGGCACAAAAAATACATATGACAATAAATTTTCACGTTTGCTTGCTAGTACTTGTTTGCCAACATCTTATGTACTCTACATTAGTTAGCTTGTGTTTGATTCAGCTATTAAGCAAACGAGTCAGGCAAGGATATAATTTTTTAGTCTAATTTATAAATGTGGAGAATACAAACAAAAGTTTTTTCGTTCGTGTTCAATTTCATTTAACTTAAATTAATTAAATAGTGATAAATAGGATTAGTATAATATTTATATATTAAATTTTTATATTGTACTTAAACTTCATAGGACTCCAATAAATTTTCATCATCTGTCATGAATATCGAGGAATGGAACGGATCTTGAGATAACCTTTTTAGCAAAAAATATTCAAAACTCAATAAAAAGTCATCCAGAGCTCTTATTTTAGCAAACTTATAGTCAAACTGATCGGCTCAATGAGACGTATCCAATGATATCAAAATGAGTCTAATTCGAGTCAAATCAAGTTCATATCAAGTCATTAAACCACTCTTGAAAGTTTTCCGTACATATTTTGAATGTTTCACGAATTTCATATCTAGTAAACTTATAGTGAAATTGAGTGTCTCGACAAAACAAATCCAACGAGCCCAAGAATGCTTAATTCAAACAATATTAAGACACAGATATGTTCATCAAACGTCGTTTAATTGAATTAACCTCTTCAAACCATTCCATTAAAGTGGTTCATTTTTCTGCATTAATTGCACCCATAAAACTATAATTAACGCCCCGTCCCACTCGTAAGGGGGGAGAGTTTGAGATCTAAGGAAGAACTTGAAGTTTTGAGGAGTTAAAGTTCAACACCGCCATCGCCGACCGTCGTTAACCATCATTGACCTTCATCGATCACTGCCGACCGTCGTCGATTTTCATCGATCATCGTCGTCTGCCATTGACCATCGTCTCCCAACACTGTCCTCCATAGAGCACCTCCAACCTTCGTCATCATTACCAAACTTCGTCGACCACCGCCAATCGTCATCGACCGCCAACGACCGCACATCGCTAATTGTTATCGGTCGCCGTCCATTCCTAACAACAAATTCATCAACATGTCAATATTGTAACATTGGAAACCCACTAACGCTTTCCCACCCGTGAAAAAAGTTGTTGTAACTGTAATCATATTTGTATAATGAAACTCTTTAACTTGGTCATACCCCGCGGTTTTTCACTTTTCGAGTTTTCATGTAAAAATTTTTGTGTTAATTAAAATATGAATTTAATACTTTTTTTATTAATGATATAATTTCTAAGTATATAAAAAATTAATTTAATTTCTTATTTCTAATAATACTTATAAAAAACTAATTAATTTAATTTCATCCTACTAATTATTTTATTAAGTAATAGTTTCACCTTTATCAATAAATAATTGTTTGGTATTAATTTCTATTTTCTTATTTTTTGTTTATGAAAATAAAGAACATAAAATAAACCAAAAAATAAAGTTTATTTATTTGTTTTATGTTTTTAAAACATATAAGCTCATTTTCAAAACATAAAAACAAAGAAATTATGTTTTTGCTGTTTTAAGAATATGTTTTTGGGAGCATTACCCGTGCGTCTGTTGACCGCGCTTGACCACTACCATCGCCCCCCGCACCCGATTGCTCGCCTGTGTCACCGCCCGATGCCCACATGTAATCCTTTTTTCCTTTATGTTGTATAGAGCAAGAAATATATCGTATACGCCATAGGCAGCAACTGTAAATATTAGAACACGTGAACTCAACTGTTTTATCAAAATTATAATTTTTCTTTAAAAAATTAAAAATACATAATCAAATATATTTTATAGTTTAATATTTTAAAAATATGTAAATCATAATAGTAATAGATATATATTCTAAATACATAAAAAAAAAATTTAAACAAAAACAAATCAGATTAAAAATATAAATTAAAATTAAAATTAAAAAAAGAAAATAATAAAAAAAGTTAATACAAAGTTGATAATTTTTTAATTAATATGTAACAGTTATTAATCATGCCTATATCATTATAATTATTTAATATGTCAATCATCATTTAGATTTTAAATTTTAATTTCAATCTACTAAATTTTTATTTATGAGAGCTTGCTTCAAAAAGAACTAAAATTTTCGGTTATTATAATATAAAATTTTAAAATTAATTGGTGAAAGCGTAATATTGAAATTTTGGATGGCTTATACGTAATATTAAATTAATTGAAATTTACAAACTTATTTTCACTTCCCCTCCCCTACGAAAAATATTATATCAGGACTCCTAACGTAGAACTAAGTTCAGATTGGAATATTTGACTGTGTTACGAGAATATTTCATCTGCGCTATTTATAAAAATGACGTGTTATTCGAGTATTATATGGTGTTATTCGATTATTTTGCGGTGTTATTAGAATATTCCATCATGTTACTTGATTTGGGACTATTTTATTCGGCATATTCCCCATGTTATTTCAATTTCCACTATATTATTAGAATAACACAACCTCAAATCAATGAATATAAGGAAATATTCTAACAACACTTCAGTCCCAAATCAAGTAACGCGATTTGATTTGAGACTATTTTATTCGGCATATTCCCAGTGTTATTTCAATTTCCACTATATTATTAGAATAACGCAACCCCAAATCAATTAATATAAGGAAATAATCTAACAACACTTCAGTCCCAAATCAAGTAACGCGATGAAAAATTCCAATAACACTTCAAAATAATCGAATAACACCGTATAATATTCAAATAACACATTATTTTTATAAACAACCGAATATTCAAATACAAACGGTAGACCTAAGTCAGGAGTCCTGATTTACTATTTTTCCTTGAAATATAAAACCATCGGCCAAATAGTCCCCTTCTCTTCTTCTCCCGATCTCTCAATCTCGACCGAAACCCTAGCGATACAGTGACGACTAGAGCTGGCCGGGAAGGTATAGAAGGAATCTTAGCGTACAAAGCATTCAGAAACTCTCATATTTCTCCTCCTTTTGCTTCGCTCCTAATCGAAACCATTAAGGTAACCTTCGTCTCTCTTCCCCTTCCTCCTCACGCTCCACCTCTTCTAAATCCTGTAAATCCGTCTTCCAAAAGGATTCACTAAATCCGATATTTATCGCAAAACGGAGAAGGAACGGGATTTAAGATAGTGTAGCGCTTTGTCAGGATCTCATGGGGGACATGAATATGGAGGAGATGTCCCTCCCGGCGCTTTTCGAGCTCGCCAGAAAAATATATACCGCGGCTTCCGATTCTTCTGTGGATCAGGTATGGATACTTTCATAATTTTACCAAATTTTGTCGGAATACTGAGTACCAGTTTATGTAGCTTTGCTGCTAATCTAGACATTGAGTGTTCACTGCTCTTGCCCTAGGAACAACTGAGAAAGGGAATTGAGGCGCTGCGTAGTTGTGATGAGATGGTGAGCAAGCTCGGGCTGTTTTCGTCTAACGAGACCGTGGATGATGTTAGCACCACGAATTTGAAATATATATTGGTACGTGTAAATTTTTAAGTTTTGTTCTTTGAGTTTAGTGTCAAGATCATGATTGTCTTCTTGTTTATTGATTCTTATATGCGGCTGATTTGCTGACAAATTTCCAACTGATTAATCTACCCAAAAAAGGAGGTTATTTTCGTATGTGACGATTGACGGCATATTTGTCAATTAACCATTTGTAAGCCCCTAAGAGCGTCATAATACTTTGTCATTAAATACAATGGCAAGTAATATCTCTGTATATTGCTTAAAATGCACAAATTTTTACTTCGTCTCTCAAGGTAGGTTTTTCATCCTTCTCTAGAAGATCAAAAGAATGACCAAGAAATATCACGCTTGGTTTTGATTTTCTCCAACAAGTTGAGTTAAATGGAGTTAGGTAGGGTGAAAATGAAGCAACAACTAGTAAAGGAGGAGATTGCCTTATCTGAATATTTGATTAATAATCAACATTATTTTGAAAACAATGACAGTATCAAGAAAAATACAAGCAAAGGGGGAAAAAGGAAAAAATAAAACTAGGAGGCAAAATAATAAAAATACCCTAAAAATGATGTATGTCTTCTCAAGATGAAACATTCTGTTTTTCTAATCTGTATCACTATATCTCCAGTAGAGAGTTGGAACATCATAAATATTCTTCTCTTTTTGTTAATTAGTCTCATTAATATACATTGTTTCCCTTCAGAAGGTTCTCTCAATATTTCTTTAAAATCTCCTCAAAAACTTGGGATAAATGTTCTCATCAAATTGTGGAATATTTTTTCAACAACAATAATAACAACAACAACAAACCTTTTTCCCACTAAGTGGGGTCGGCTGTATGAATCCTTTTTCTCCATCGTGTCTATTGAGTGACATATTTTCATTTAATTCTAATATATTAATATTATTTTTTTACAAGGAATATTCTTTCTAATATATTAATATTATTTTTTTTACAAGGAATATTTTTTCCAAAAAAAGGGCTTGCATAATATTTTCTTAAATAAAGCCTCATCATCATATATTTGTTGACAAATACATTAAAAAGTAAAAGACATTTCATATGCCATTATTTTTTGGAATATATTTCCACAAAAAGGGTTCATGTAATGGTTTCTTAAACAAAACCTCAGCATCATATATTTGTTAGCACATATATTAAAGATAAAAGATATGCCCCTTGCCAGTATTTTATGTCATTGTTTTACAAGCATAGAAAAAATAAAAAAGTTGATAAATGACATCTTATTAATGATAATCTTTATTGTCATGCATGACTATATAACAACTTATTCATCATCAAGAAGTATCTCTATCAATATCATCACGATGATTGTTTGAGCAATCTTGGGATACTGTATGTAGCTGCTTGAATCAAGCAAGGGTGGCAGGAGTTGACAACCTCCATCCATGCTTAAAAGGCAATTTGGTTCTCAATGGTCCATGTTCGCCATTATATCAATTATTAATATACCTTAACAATATCAACTTTATGTCATCCAAATTATTGCAAGCCAATAATAAAATTGTTACATTCAATAAAGCCCCCTTATAGAGATATTCAATATGAACATCTAAGTCCCTTTTTCCATATACTTACTGCTGCCTTTCTAAAATAATATAGCTGATTAGGATTTACATACCAAAATGTATCTTATTTTATCAATATAATTATGTATTTTATTGAATGAATTATACATAAAATGCACCATATTCCATATATCACGATATTGTCCAATCTAGTAACATCCTTGATTAAATCTTCCATATTTTTTTCACATTTTCTGACTTGGGAAATACATATTTTCATCCATATGTTTTGATGAGTATTTGACACAAGTATTATACAAGCAAATATAAAATTGTAGGTTCAACATATTTAAATACTTAAGAATTTTTATGCCACATCTGCTAAGTGATTTAATGTCTACTCTTAAGTATTATGTGATATATTCTTCTCCTTGAGCCATTCAATATGCCTACTTGTTTCTTTCTTCTACACCACAACGTTGTTCTTCAATTACTCATTTTTGGCAAACCAATTAGATAATAATTTATTCAAGTAAGCTCTTAATAGGGAATATGATTAAGGTTAAATTGCAGAACAGCCCTTGAGTAGAAAGCAAATGAGATAAGAAAGGAAATGAATGAATATCAATTTCTAGTCAGCATTGTTAAATAAGCAAAGAAGTGCATGTTTTCCAAGTCGTATGATCATATGATTTGTGGCAGAGGACTTTACCTGATACTATTGCACGCATTGGAGAGATCCAAATTTGCATTGTAGCGATAGCGCGCATATTGTGATTGTTTCCCAAAGCACGCTGTGTAGCTTTGCCTAGCTGAGCTCTATTTTGCTTCATTTTCATTTCACCAGAGGCACGGTTTTGAGGTTTTATTAAAATGAAACGATAGAAGATTCTTTAGAATCCTTAGCTTGCCCAATTCCTGTGCCCAATATCACACTCTTGGCTCTCTACTTTTCCCTTTTCTATTCTCTCTACTGTTTTTTCCTTCCTGAAAAAGGTTACCAAAGATTTAGAGTTTATTTTTGTTCAAGTTATTTTTATCATCTTTATTTTTATTGTTATAAAGCATTTCTTCTCTAATCACTATTTTTACCTGCATGCTCTTCTCATGCTTGCATGATTTCTTTTAGTGATTTTTCCTGCTTCTATTTGTTTTTTGTTTCACCATATGTTGTAGAAGGGAAATGCAATATTGTTTTTTCTTAAAATATTCCTTTGGCCTCTCATACAACATGTTTCTCTGTGAAATAGATATCTAACTTTCGTTCTTTAATTTAAAATAATTAAGCACGTTTTGGAGAGAAATGAGTTGCAAAGGTGTCATTTTTAATATTTTTGAATGTTCTTGTGTTCTTTCTATTCCTATTTGTTCTTTTCACTTTTTCTCGGCATTGTTTCTGTTATGCTTGTATTTCTCTGCCTTCAACCAGTTGCATTTCTAGTTGTCCTTATGTTTTTGCCTTGCCTTGGTTTGTCAGCTAGTCCAATGACGAGGTTTTATTTGATGTTATTATTCTAATATTTAATTGCTTCGTTTTCTTCAATTTCATTTTGACAGTTAATTTTTTGTAATAATGAGAGAGTGACGATTTTTCTAAAGAATGTATAGCTGCTTTTGCAAATGTATTCTTTTTTGTGCTTTGATGTTCGAAGTCTTACAATCTGTTCGGATTTATTACCACTATCTATTCTATATTCACATTCAACATATCATCTTATCCGGGATAATTGTGACCACATGTTTAAGGCGCTGATGCATCCATCTACAATAAAGAGGGTTAGCTGTGCTAAAATTTGGGATTTAGCTTTAAAATTCATTGCTTAATTATTATGATGCCCTTATTAATTAATGCTTTTACCCCTCTCATGTTTTTTGCTTTTCGTTATTTGGCCTCCTTCCAATGAATTCATGCACTTTCTCTCTCCCACTCCCCACAAAAATGCAACAATGCTATGATTTTTCCCTCACCCACTCTCTCCTGAATGTAAATGCATTATCTCCTCTTCACTTAAAATTGCAGCAATGCTAGCTTTGCTTTATTCTAGTACATAGATTATGTATTAATTATTATCTTGTACCAGCTAACTAGGGGTCTTGGCTCTGCCACTGCCCTCTTCTTTTTAGTTATTTTTCCCAAATTGTTTCGTTGATGGCCATGCATCATCAATTCTTCTATGGCGTAAATTTGATTGTAGGAGGTAGCATCTGTGTTTGGATACTGAAATATAAATTTTAATACCTATGTTATTAATTGCCATTTATTTGATGTATTATTTACTGATGGATTGCACCTTCTATGCCAGGTCCCTTTTTATCTCGGAGAGTTGACAGAAAAACTTGCAAAAGATGACAGGATTGAGATTATTAGGAGGTCTTATGCTCAGTTCAAGGTTAATCCTATTAATATATTTTTTTTAATTATATGAGGGTGGAACCTGAATGTTAGAACTGTACTTGCTTGTCAGGTCACACAAGAATGAGCTTTTTTATGATTTTTTTTCTTTCTTCCCATTCATTTTCTTACATCAGTTTATTACCTATATAATTCTAGGAATTTATTTCAATCTGTGAGGCCCTTGAACTTGTGCCTGAAGAGGAGATTGTATCTTCTAAGACAGGCAGTACGGATTTGGCAGCGGCAAGGGCCAAAAAGGTATCCATTATTGTCTTTTATGTCCTTGCTATGTAAAAATTCCAGTGATCTGAGTAGCTACTTTAGTTGATTAGTGAGCTTGTTTGCTCATCACTTAGGCTCTCCCTGTTTCGCCTCTTTCCAGAATTTGCCAGCTGGTTTCAACATAATTTATTGATTAAGTTGTTTTAATATAGCCAGAGCTTATTTTTTATTGCTATAGTTTAAAATTGATCAATTAGATTTGTGGAGATTGTTTCAATATAAAATGACTTCAGATTTCTCCCTATTCATTTTCCTCTTCAAGCTGAGGATGAGGGAAAGA